TGTGTGGCATATATATATATATATATATATATATAATTCTAGTAAAGCAAATTTAGCAAAAGAAGATTACTTCTGATCCTACAAAAAAAAATATACAATTTCTTATCCGGAATCAGTAACTAGAAGAATTTAAAAGCGAGCAAAATTAGTTTCACAAATGAGTTTAAATAATTACAACAAAAACAAAATTATTTGAAATGCACAACAAAATCCATAAAGAACATGAGGAAAGACTTGATAAAAGACAAGCGATGAACTTTAGATTGTTAAGTGGTATCTTGAAGCATGCAAAGTATGCAATCGTTTATATACATTCACGTTTGCCTATCATGATTTTGGTGCAGCCACAGCACCAACAATACAATCCGATTATAAGTTGGATTTAGAAATGTACAACACCATCACAAACCTAAAACAGTTTGCAAGGAACTTCCCAGCTGCCGATGATAAATCAAATTAGTACCATAGAAAAATATTTTATTTGCTCCCGTTTATCATGCCTTGGCTGGATGTGCCGGAGAAAGTAGAATTTTGGCTGCTTGTCTTCGGACCTGTACTGGGATTTCGCAAGTCTAGCAGATCATCGAATAACCTGTTAGTGTAGACATAAGGTTTAGGAGAATTTGGCTTCCCTGTCTTGTGCCCAAGGCTGGTATTTGTCTGTGTTTTGGTCGTTGGGACATTATTGACTCTCGGGCCGAATGAATTGTAGAACTGCACAGGGCGAGAAGTCTGCATGGAGGTGTAAGTAGCGGAAAATCCACCAGCTCCGGGTGCAGGATGTTGGTAAGTGGTTGGTATAAAGGGATTGGTATTGGGACTGGCATTGGGATCAGAAGTAGCCCATGGTGGAGGTGGATAACCAGATGAGTTCAAGAACACCTCGGGTTGAGGTTGTGGACGTGGTGGAGATGGAGAATGAGTCTGGGTTTGAGCCCATGGTGCAGTGTAGCTGTTTTGGGGAATGTATGCTTGGTTTACAGGATAACCTTGTCCAGCTGAGGGAACTGGCGGAGATCCATTTTGGTCAGACACAACTGGAGGTGTTAAAGGAGTATGGGGAGGAGATGGGTTTGATGACAAGGTAATACTGAGAAGATCGACTATATCTTGCTCTTTTGTGGCAGTCTTCACTGGGGTTGGAGGATCAGGCAGTGTCAATTCGCTACTTGCCTCGGAGGATGATGCTCCATCCATGGTTGATGCAACTGTTGAAGGGATAATGTCACTCGGGTTTGGCAAGGACAAATGACCACTGGTTGCAGCAGATTTGCTATCACCACCCAATGGCTTGCTTTTGGAGTTCCTGCAGAAGAACAAATATGGTTTTAACCACAGGGATATTGATTACTCAAGTATGTGAAGGTGGGTCTGTGTGACCTGCGAGCCAACTGAGCAAAATCATCATCCTCGTCTTCCTCTCCATCATCATACCAACTTATTGCTGCAGGTTGAGGTACAACAGGAGTCCTTGAACTTGTGATAGATTCAGATACATCAACAGGGGGAGGTGAACTAGAGGTTATTGCATCGTGCTCTGTGATAGATTCAGATACTTCAGCTGGCAGAGGTGAACCAGAGGCTATTGCATCATGCTTTGCGAGTAGACTTTGCAAATTATCATTTAATTCAAGGCCTCGACCCAGAAGCTCCTCATCCCTGTAAACATGGCCAAGTACCATTTTTTCAGAATTTACTCCAAACATAAGAAATGTTACTTCCTACAGAAAGGTATAATCAAAGACAGGTACAACATTCAAAAAGATCCCCAAGGTTCCACATTAACCAAATTTCAGAAGTTGACACCAAGTCGGATGATGCCTCGACAAGTCAAATAATCATACTGGCAGAAGAAACGAGGACCAGAGGGAATGCCTTGTGTAAAGTTATCACAAAGAATGAGTATAAATGTTCCATATGGAACAAAAACACACGACCACATGCAAGATTGCTAGTGGATATATAGGAACAGTACGTAGAATTTTCTCTACATAAGAGACTGGAGAAAGCTTATTATGGCTATGGCTAAACACTTCAGAAAACAATTGTCAAAGAAGAACAAGAACAATGTTTGATGAAAATCTCACAGTTGGAAACAAGACCTGGTAAAGCTCACCTGACACCATCTTAAATGATTATGGTACTTTCATATTTTAACCATCTAATCATAAAGTACAGATTCATAATCAAACAGTAAACTACCTGATTGAATCAATCAATTGCATCAGCCTCGTTTGGTTGGAGCGACACTGGTTGACAAGATCTATAATCACTTCATCTTTAACAGCCTAAAGATAGTAAAAATATCAACTTAAACACAAAGCCTAAATTAAAGATAAACTTAATATAAAGTGCCAACTATACAAATTTTTGAAAGAATAAGCATGGATAAAATGATAATAGAAACATACACTGCGATCATTTGGATTCACAGCTTTCAGCATCTCGCTTAACAGCTCCATCACACTCTGCATGCTGGCCAAATCTGATAAACTGATTTTATAATGATACAGAGTCAATTATTGGATAAGCAAACATAAACACCAACGGGAGAACATAAAATAAGGAAGCAGAAAACGTTAATATCAGCTCCATCATTACAGAATACAACAAAGAGAAAGATACCTCAATTTTGCCATCTCAGATGCCATAGCTTCATCCAGTCTTAAAGCAGAATTGCTAGGCATCCCATACCCTATAGGAGGATGTGTGGTTTCATTTGTTGCATGTCCAGCAGGATTAAAAATTAATGTAGCGTCAGAGGAGCGTTCTGGGAACTGCACTCCAGATCTCTGCATAAATTACACAAGTTGTACAAAAATAATTACAACACTTTTCCCAAAAATAAAATAAGGTATTGCCATGTTAACAACTTAGAACAGTATCCATAAGAAATAGTCCAAATATTGAATGTCTACCAACAAAAAGAACAGAAAAGAAGGATTCATGCACACTGTCTTATTTTCTTTGCATGCGTAAGCAGAGAGGTGCATATAAGCAAATAAAGCACTAAGCCCAATAGAAATACACTTACAATACACATAACAAGTTACACTCTGCTTGCAGAATAAAAGTAAACATCTTGTGCAATGTATAACAGTGGCCTACACCATGATATCCACAAAGATATTTTTCATGCAAATTTCAACCAACCTAACAATAAATGAATAATAGACAGTCAAGGAAACAAAAGAACTCTTCACACCGTTATGGCCTGCTGTTGTATGTTAATATGTTCATTCATATGAGTTATCATTAGAAAAAGAGAAGAAAACTTGAACAATGAGTTAAAGTAACAAACACACCTTTAAGTCAGCATATGCCAAGTAAAACTGAGGATACTTTCCTCCAGCCCCACCAAATGCTACTTGCCATGAGTCCAGCAATTCCAAAATCTTGTCTCTCACTTGCATATCAGTCTGTTGAAACAAAAAGGTACATGCTTTATTGGGTAAAGAAATTATGATTTATAACCAAATCTATCATAATCAAATACAAGGCTGAGATAATTTTAAAATAATTGAACAAGTTTGTCCCAATAAATACCCTAAGGATTCCATGATACCAAAAACTTCATATAATTATTCAGTATCAGTGCAAAATCAGTTTTAGATCCAATGAAGGATTTCAGGTGCCCACCATGATACTAGCATCCCCCTATTGATACATATTATATATGCATGAGGGACTTCTCTTCTCTTGCTAGCTTAGTTGTCTATTTTGACTGAGAAGTAAGCTCAACCAAGATGAACTACATTCCTCATCTGCACCATATTCATCTTTTATTTTACACTTGCTGCTCGAGTTCTCTGTAGGCATGACCTTGGCAAATGCTTCAGCTGATGACATGGACCAAACCAGTTGCCAGCCAACAAGCAAAATCCAAAACCTTTAATATAATAATTTATTGTGTCTAAAATTTAAGGAAATACAACTAATATTTTGATTCCTTATGATCAGAGTTACAAATGCCTTCCTGTAAATTAACCAAACAGTTTGTGGTCAGCTCTGAGCTTGATTAAATACTGCTTAGGAATATTCAAACTGGGGTGAACAATAAAACAGCCTCAAAATTAATTTTCAAGCTGATATCCTGAACTTGGTGAATTTGATCAGTCCTTCAGTTAAATTTTCTTGAGATGCACACACATATATATAGAGCAAATTTATAAGTCATGCATTTTCAATCCGCACCTATTATATTATGTTGAAATCCCATGCTGTGTCACTGCCAGCCATTTTACACCATGCTGATGATATAAAGATGACCTTTTTAGTAGCTTATATAAGTACACATTAAACTTCCCCTAGATGGATGACTACACTTCAAAGGTGTCATGGTCACCGTATCTTATAAATTTCAACTGAGATACAACATTGTTTTCATACAGCTGATGGTATATAAATGCTTAGTTGGTCAGAACAGTTCAATAGGCATTCTTTGAAAACTTCACAGCTTCAAGAATGATACAGAGAATACAGCTCCTCTATAGCTTCACAGAAAATTTTTGAAAAGAAGTCTCCATGAGTTAGTGTACAGCATGTCATACTGTCCAAAAAAGCCTTTTCATATTTTTTTCGTCATTTATTTTATCATAGGTAACCATGCAAAATTTTTTAAGCTGTAATTGTATAAAAAAATCACATTCAAAATATTGACTGAACATAGTAGTACCCCAAAAGAATAAATGCAATAATAAAACAAGTTTAATCACAGATATAATAATAAAGAGCAAGATCAAAATGATCCTTCTGCCAGAAGTACAATACACATTAAACTTATATAGATTCAGTACCTAGAGACTGAAAAATGCCATGTAATCACAATGAATAACTAAACAACAAGATATAGCTGATCAACAACACTCAAGGATAATTGAAAAAGTGAACCAACCTTCTTCCTGACAATTTTGACCATCTCCTGCAGTATTTCACGTTCAACTACTTGAAAATGCACATAGTTACCACAATTCTTAATCATTGTCTCTAACAGCTGCAAAGATCAGATTGAAACATTAGTTAAGTACTTGGGACAACTTTCAAGATTTCAAAGTAGACTCCTCCAAAGTGAGTCCAACAATATTACAGATATTTCTAACATGCAAATGGAACTTTGATAAACCAATCAAATCACAAAATATCAAATACGTCCACTAATAATACCATAAGTGACTACAAAATTCATTTAGAATTCATTTTTTCTCACCGTCCAATAAGAAATAAAAATAAATAAACCTTACATGCAAAGGCTGCATACTCGGAACACTACGCTGAAAAATTTCTATATGATTAACATCTGTAAACTTCCACATACCGTTAAAGCCAAAAATTGAACCTTTGGATTTTTATGTTGCAAGCGCTTCTTCACTGCTTTAACCACATCTTTAGCCTGCCTGATTCACTATACCTTATTAGTGGTTGCAAGAAGTTGTAAATAATCTAGAATTTTAGGAACTTCGATTTAAATACAGGCAAATGCAATAAACTCATAGCATAAAGTTATACTAAAATAGGAGAGTAGGAGGAAAACACTAAGAAGTATATTTTTATGATCTGAAATTCTTAAGACAAACTGAAGTGTCTCACATACAACCATTATAATGTACATAAAAAGGAAGAGTCATCTTTTTATCAAGGGATGAGAAAAAAAATGTAGACGATGTAGGGCAAAGGTACCTCTATACATCAAATTCAACTAGAGATCATTCAAGGATCACTTTAAAAATCATGTGGTAACTGGCATAAGCTTGAAGGTTATGTAGAAAGCACTGCTAACAAAGTAGACTATAAAACATAGTTCTCTCAAATATGTCCTTCGAATCATAGCATACTTTATTCCCTCAAAAGAGTATAGTATAAGAACATGGACAAACAATTAAAAATAACCCCACAAAAATTGTACTGCCCCGATTCAGTCTCTATATCAGAAGTGGGTAAAAACTTGAATGAACTTACAAGTGCTTGATTGTTGTATTACCAATTAAACTCAGGCCTAAACATTTTGGATCAATAGTTCAGGCTCAACAAGCTAGTTGTCACATCAGGTCAAGTCATGATAATATAGTGTTAGAGCCAATCTAATATTGGACATAATAAGGGACTCGAGTAGAAAAAGGTTAGCCATGGATGAAACTAGAGGGTACATCATGGCATGAAGCTATAATTGGACTAGGTCTGATGTGAACCAATGTTAAGATTTGATTTTGAGCTATATGGTCATCGATGAGGATGTCAAACCCATAAGTGGAGGAGATCGTTATACCTAATTTAGTCCTATATAGGAAATAGGAAGTGAGTAGAAGCTTGAATGGAATTATAAGGGTTTGATGGGTATACGTAAACATTTTGGGCTAGTTGTTCTGGTTTAATAGGATGGGTTGGGACACAAATAGTACATGATGGTCCAGGGAGAAGATAATGATTACATGCCTCATGTCAAGACCAAACTTAAAGAAAATAAAAATCTTACAAAACACATCATTACAATGGAAAAGGCTAAAGATAAAAGAAGCACATCAACTAGGAGAAAACTGAACCCAACGTTTCCAAATGGCCCATAAATGACAAAAAAATTTACTGGTCGCTGTACATTTTCCTTGATCACACCTCAACCGTGGCCAGTCAACTTACTCCACTTTGAGAGGCCAGAATCTAGCACCTCATCTTGCCAAACCACTTCCTTGAACCCTCATGATCATAGGTAACCAACGTCTTTTGGAGAAAAATCACAGGCGGACAACTAAAATTACTATAATGTTTTTATTTACAATAGTTCCAGGAAATGTCCACCACCAGGACTACCAACTTTAAATTAGTCAAACATCCTGATGAAACTTTTATATGATATAATCTATTTCTTGGGCATACGGAGATTTACAGGATAAAATCGACAACATATAGTTAAGAAACTTAGGAGCTTCAAAATCAAACATATACACTAAGAGAACAAAATAGCCAACTTGATCAAAATCTCCTGCGAACCAAGCTAATAAAACAACTAAACAAAATTTTGCCTCTTTGTTAGTCTCCTAAAATAAAAGAAGGCTTACAAGGAAGAGGTGCAACTAAAACCCAACTTAACAAGAAAACACCAAAGAACTAAATCAAACATCCCCTAAGAAACCCAAACCGAGCAAGAATCGGTGTCAGCAAACATAATTCTTCAGAGCCCTGCAAACAGAAAACCCCAGAACTTCGACTCTATCAAAGCCAAGTCACAGAACACCTATTCGAACCCCAAGTTTCAAATTCAGACCGCAAAAAACCCATCCAATCACAGAAACCCTAGCAGAAAGAAGCAGACCTCGAGCTCCACTAAATAAATAAAAAAAGGTATCAGGAACCAAAATTCCATCAAGGGTGCTCACCCGTGGTCGGAATTTACCGAGTCGCAGATGTCCATGTTCAACGTCCAGTCCGGCCCCATGAGGAGGTCGCTCGTGGCCTTCTCCACCCGGACCGTCGCCGACGACGAGGACGACGACAACATCGCTCCGACACCACAAACCCGTCCCAAAGAGATCCGCAAGAACACGAAATCTAGCAACAGAAAAGATCAAAGCTTTTGCCCTTCCCGACTCCTAATCGCGGAAATCCGGTGGAATCCCTTTCGAGTTCAGCCACTAAAGCGAACAAAACAGCGAGAGATGGGGGGAAGAAGAAACTGTTTATAAATAATAGCGAGGAGATGGCAGAGGTCCGTTTAAAAAGGTATTCCCTCCCGAGCCAGGATCCTCTCCGATCATTGTACGTTTCCCACTCAGATCCAACCATCACGGATCCATCGGACTCGGGGTCCGCACAAATCAACGTTCCAGATGTGGAAACAAGATCGTTTCAGGAAGTAGTAACGTTTTACGATCCCGAACGATTCTTTTCTTGTTTTTCCTATGTTTTCCCTACTCTCGCATCGTTACCTGATCGTACACCTGACGCTAAAACTGGGCCCCACGTGGGACCCACACGGACTGCCATTCCATCGATCAATGGCATGGCAGGTAAACCGGCGAGCCAGAAACAGTCCGAAGAAGTGTTTTATTTGTTCGGGTCGGTTCGGTTCAACTTTTTTGTGACTCGCATTTTGCTGACGTGTTATCGACTGAGAAGGGGAGGGGAGGCGGTAAAGGACAAAGACGGGTGAAAAGGTGGGCGGCAGCGGAGCAACGGAGAGGTGGGGGCTCGCGATGAAGCCACGTAGAGCAAATCCTCACCGTTGGATGCGGTGGTCGGCCACGGATAAGATTAGGCTCATCCCATGGAATATATAATATACCGGTGCAATAAATTCTATCGAAAACCGTTATAATCTTTTGCTACGAAGATTAGAGTTGCAATCGAACCGAACCGGATGTGATGCGACTCGAAACGTCGGAGACATCCAATGCAGCACGCAATTGCAGGACGACTCGATTCCTGAGATGATGCCAAATTGACGTGCGGCAAAGGGAAAGCAGGCGAATCATGGGTGGACGTGCACCGAGAACAATTGATAGCGGTGGGAGAGGCACGAATCACGTTGTGTGTGGGTGCGTGCACGGTCGCCATCAACGTCAGATTGTTCGGATCACATTTTGATATTATTTCAGTCTTAACGTATGTATAATACGATTTGACGGAAATCGAAATTGATGGGGAAATAGGAAGGGTAAGGAGAAATGGATTGGAAAATTGATTGATTGATCGATTGATTGATTGTGTTATATTTTCGTTGGTTATTCATTTTTGACAGCAAAACAAAAAATTGATACCCTTAGATTTGATTTGGATTGAAACCAAATAATTCGACACCCATAGTTAAATTATAAAATATAATTCCTCAAATTTAATGTCCTAATTTAGTACAAGTATATTATCACTAACTTGTACTTAATATTTTGAGTTAGTTGAAGTTTATTTATATCAACAAGAATGGTGTCTTTATTCTCACTGTTTTCAAGTCATTAGAACTGTACTCAGAAGACCCAGAGAACTGTTCTAAGAAGAGAGAAACATAGAAGACTTGGAAGAATCCATCCATGAAGTATAATGAAAGCATAGAAGTTTTACTATATTAGAGAACAAGAATGGGATTAGAATGAGGCATGAAACTTTAACTTTAGCTGCAATTTTCAGGATTTATCTTCTATGTATAGAGCAAGGGAGAACAATTAACTTCTGTTTAATTCCTACTGTGTTCTCTCATGTTTCATATCCAATGAACATATCATAGTAAAAGTTTATTGAAGCTCTAATATGCACTTTTCTTGAAGGAAAGACTTTTCATGTTTAACCATTCCTCACTGAAACCAAATCTCTAAAGGAACAAGTAGTTCATCTTCTCTTTCCATTGACTTAAAAGCCTTCATCATTGCTTATGAAACCTTGCTGATGTTTCTTGGTGCATTCCATTTCTGGAATTGGATTAGTCAAACAATTGTGAAATCCAAATTGTTTAGAAGCCTCACCTCATACATTATCCATGATGAAACCTAGTGGCATCCTGCTTCATTCTCTTTCTCTCTTGTGACTGAATGTAGAGCATCTCAAACAATGTTTAGTTGATCGCAATCACAAAATTGTCGATGTGGAGCATCTTGAAGTTATGTGATCACAAAGTTAATATGAGATTCTTTAGAAGAATCTCGGATTGTTATGTAATCACCTAACAAATCCAACTTCTACAAAGAATGAATTCTCCATTAATAGAATGATTGTGAAAGAAGACTTGTTTTCCTTTCAGATAATACATCAACAGCTGCCACCACCACACTCCATTTAACTCTGATGTTTATCCCCACTATGTTAGTCCTCCAAAGATTTCAATAAGATAGCAGTACTTGAACTTCAATCCAAGTCAACTTTGGTTTTTGAAGTGCTTAATATGGGAGGAATTGACTGAGCAAAAGATCATGAGTGCATAACCTGAACTTGACGAAATCTATAAATGATATATAATAAAAAGAGGCATATATTTGTCATTTGAACTATGCCTTGGTTCACATCCTGTTGACATAAAGTGAAGAGAAGATGAATGAGAGACAACGCAATCATCAGAGGAAGAATGTTCTTAGTATTAACACAGGCTGTGAGCTCAAAAAACACATCTAGTACTTGTACTTGCAGAATTTTATTCAGTATCTGCTATATAATACCATTAATGGGAAAAAGATCAGAGAAAATCTCACTGATCCATTTCCAAAGCAGTATCAAATTCCCTCCCAAATCTTTTAGTACAATTTTGCATTTATTTTTTCCAGTAATCTCACTGGTTACAAGTTTTATTTAGTTTAGTCAGAATCAAAATAGGTTCTGACTCTGACATCATACTGAAAATTGTGCTTTTAGGGTGTATGAAAAATGAACTATACAAAAATGACCTTGAATTTCTACAATAGTGTACAGTTCATTTCATCTTTGAATAAATCATATCACATCTGGAATTAGGTTGCTGTTTCTGAGATCTAAAGGGACCTTTGGAATCTTAGATGGACTGTGCAATACAACACCATGGAGTAAGCATGATGTTTAATAAGAAGATAGTGGCCAGTAAAAGGTACAATTGCCTTTTATTCACAGGGCCCATTGTCTGCATGACATGAACAAATCTGAACAACCACTCTGATAGTAGTGTCCTTGGCTTTAAGAGAGACAGAAATTGCACTGGATGTAGGACATACTATCACCAGCATGAACAAGGTGGTAGGTTGCAGGATTCATCTAGCATTGAAGTGATAACTGAATGAAAAGAAAATAATGAATACTCTCACTGTGGAGACACACTGCATGGATATGACTATTTGTTCCTTTTTTTTTATTCTTTTCTGATCAAACAATGTATGAGCAGACAAAACTACCAACTCAGCTTGAGTTTCTATTGTAAGAAGTTATTGACATGTCCAGTTCATGGTGAATTGTGACCAAAATCTCTTTAGCAAAAAGGAATAAGGTATTAGTTCTGAATCTCTATTTCAGCATCTGACTTCTACTTGGTGTTTTTCTGATCTTGACTTCATATCTAGGAAAGTGTATGAAACCTACCAAATGATCATGTAACCATCTCTTTTTAGTGTTGAAGTATAACTATTTTAATTGATGATATGGAAGATACATACTGTTCTTAAAATTTGGTACACGAGATCATGACATACTGAACACACTGTCCAGGACGCAAAAAAAAAAAAAAAAATCAGATTGTGAATGAGATGCATATGAGACTCCTACTCTTTCTTTCTAAGCAAAGTTTAGTAGTTCTTACCTACAGAGACTGGGATTTGAACAAGAGATCATGGTTGCAATGGTGAAGCGACCAACTGTGACTTCAAGTTTGCCAATCCTGCAGACCAACTCATTCTCGTAGTTATAAGATTGGTTGTGCATGGTGGAGAAGATGAGCACATGAAGACAGGCACAACTCTTCATTTTGCGAGCAGGAATATGTGCTATGGATGCACGTGCCCTGCTTCTCCACCCTGAACAACCCATCTTCCAAATGCTCATCACTCCGGCAAGCAACTCTGAAGCTGGAGACTCCATTGCCCTTGGTTTGAAGGCCTGTATTGGATATTCATCTCCTCCCAGCTCTACCTCTCTTTATATAACCTCTAACATTCTACTGAAACAGTTTCCACAAAAGTTGGTAGAGGTAGTATGGAAGAAACATCTTCCAACCTCAGTAGCATCGTAGGGTCCAAGCCAACAAAGTAGTGCCAATCTTGCTGGTGACAACAGAGAAGAGCCTCTCATCCATCCCGAATTCACATGTGGTATCAATGATAGCAATCATGATAGGTGGAGCCAACCGTCGAACTAGAATTCTAAACCCAAACAAGGAAAGCAGAAATCTTTCATCAGTCTGTGATTATGATCTCAGTAGGAAGGAATGCTACCTCACTTCATGGCCATTTCTCTTAGGCTCAAAAAGCTTTTGTTCTTGGTAAGAAGTCTTACACATACGGAAGTAAAAGTATCCTTAAGTTTTTCCTATTTCTTGTCATGAGCTGCCTCCACTCATAAGTAAAGCTTGATTGGTTCTCGACGGAGAGCAGCACTTCTAAGAAAGCAACAGGAAAAACAATCTGGACCACCATGAAAAATGACATGGAATGTAGCAATGGTCCCAAGTGTGAACTTTGGTGATCGATGGACTGTGATGTAGAACTTGAGAAAGAGAGGAGTGATCTCTACCCGTTGAGTGAAGAACATGACTACAAGGACCACTCCCTGAGTGAAGAACACAACCACAAGGACCACTCTTTATTTAGCTGAACTTAAGCTTCCTACATGTCAGATAGCTTAGCATATGCTCACTTGAAAGAGTGTAGATTAGTTTAAGTCTCCTTTTCATCTCACTGAATTTGACATCCTTGCACTTCATCCCCAAATCAATCTTGTAGCCATGTAAAATTCCCATGCCTTGTGGCACTGGATCTATCATGCAGATAAGTACAAGTTGGATTGCTGTCATGTGTTGCAGCTACCTTTAGTCCTTTGTGGCACCTTTATTGCATCAGGGGATTGAATTTGAGTAATACTGCTACTGCCTACTGCTTTCTTTCTTCTTCCACTGTAAATTCTTAGAAAGGAGATTCTGGGCTTGGCAAGATTCTGGCTGATTCAGAGGAGTAATAATGGTCTTTGAAAGGATTAATGCAGGAGATAGTCCACCACTGTCGGTGAGACTTGGAACTGCTTTTTCCTCATTTGTTTTGCTAATTCAATCATCTGTACAATGAGCTTCTAATCTGACACGACTCTGGTTTCGATTTGTTCTAATTGATACCCGCATCTCCCATCTGAAATTTTATCTGCACTCATCAGAAACATGAAAGAGTTCCATTACAACACCTTTAGGGACTTCTTGTGGGCTCCAAATCTGAAGTCAAACAGTTCGTCAGCTGAAGTGAAAGAGGAACAGTTTCGTTTGAGTTCTAGCACTCTGGCGCATGCTAAACGTTGGTGGTGGAAGTCCATCGAGCTGTGACATTGAAGGTGGACACTTTGATGATCCACAGCTTCAAATGCTGAGACGGCTGAAAGATACCACATATGAGAACAAAATTAGTGATGAAAAGAAGTCACTGTAGGAAGCAGCGAATCGTGCAAGTAATCATTACAAGCAACAAAAGACATGCATCCTGACTACCGAAATGATGGAGACGGGTTTTCCCAACTCCATTTCTTCTTCCTCCATTAATCCCGCCACAGATTTCACGTCTGGATTCAAGTGAGAGTGAGAGGTTTCTTACTAGTGTTGTAACAGTGACATCCTTCCAGCATGAACACACTCTCGCCTACATAAAGATCAAGCGCTGCAGAGCATTTCTTCTGGAGAATTAAGAGCCCAGAATTTGCTACCATGCTGTGCGGTAAATTGGAGCCATCTCTTGAAGTAGACGCAGATGATTCTCTCGGACACTATTGTTGCTTCATCTCTGGAGTTTCTTCAACACAGGAACATAAATATGCCATTAATGCACTCATGTTTTGATCGGTTCAAGTCTCAAGTGCTCAAAAGCAGTATGCTGTTACTTCAGGAACTCAGTCAAATTCACATGAAATGCTATACCTTTACTGGTCAATCAAGATGTTCTCACCGACAACTAAATGTTCAGCTAAAACCTTTTTCTTCTTCGTAACAGAATGTTGGATCTGAACTTGGAGATTCATGTCCATTTTCGGGTCATTGGACGCCATGAACGCTATCCAAGGTCGACTTTTGAGCAGGTCGGAGAGCTGTTCGGGGACGAATCGGTCGGAATGGGTGGTGTTCGATTCGATTAGGGTTGCAATTGCCTTGCCGCTGTACGAGATTTGTAATGGCTCTTCCATTTTAGTCATCGCAGATGTCAGATGATCCCATCCGTCCATTTTTCGGATCATAGTATGATCCACATTTGATAACCGTCCGTAGCTATCATACACCGATAGAGACGATATATGGGACTCACATTGTATCCTGCTCTTACCCGCCGCCGAAGCACAGGTAAAGGGATTCTGCTGTCTCGCTTCGGCTGGCTCTGGCGATGGTAGCGATGCTTTCCGGCGATATCCCTCCGAATCAAACAATTTACATCAACAATCTGAATGAGAAGGTCAAGAAAGAAGGTAAAAGTCTCTTGCTTTGTATCGATCTTTGATAGGTTTCGTGAATTTTCCCAATGCATTTGTTCTTCCTCGTAGTCTTGTTTTAGGGTTTTTCGAGGATGTTTAAGTTGCTACGATTTGCTCGTGAATCTTGTTCGCTAATTTCTTTGCATTAGATCAAGTGCATTCATTGCAAAGTTCTGCTGCTGAATGGATCGGTGGCTTAACATGATCTGACTAGTAAAAGACGGGATCGAACTCTTGCTATGTGGAAAATTGCAACTGCTGACTAGTGACCCACTGTCGAATTTTACATTGTAAGCTGGAATAAGGTGTATGACTAGTAAAAGATGGTTTCGATTTGTGACGTTTTAGTAGAACATATGAGGGCCTATTAGGAGAAAATGATATATTATGGCCGCTTGAGCGTTTTTATGACCTTAAGTTCCATGGGAGCATTACCTTTATGTAAAAATCAGGACTTTCTAGTGTACATAATTCTTTTCGTTTTATATTGCAGCCCCTGGAGTCTCTTATTTATCCGTTGCCAGGGTTTAAATGTGCCATGGTAAAAGATCAAAGCGTCTGCTCTCTCTATTCATTCATCAAGCAAAGTTGTTTTGAAAGCCACAGAAAATGGCATGATTTCCTTTTGTGGAAACCATGGTCTTTCAGCTGGTCCAAGTTTTTTGCTAGGAATCAATTTGTTTTCAATTTTGTTAGGCTTTCAGTCGAAAAGCCATCGGATAAGTACATGTTACATACACTTGGAATTGTTGTGCCATATGTACATTAAGTTGGTACCACAAAAGTGGCCTTCAGGAAGTTTGCTGTAATTTATTGTACTTTGTTACTTGTTGGAGATGGATGAATGATATGAAGCTTGCGGTAATGTATTATATTTATATACTTTGTAGTCCCTCCTCAATCCTTATTTCTCTAGCTAAACTCAAAGACAAAAATACAAAAAAAAAAATGAAAACAAGAAGGTGCAGTTCATAATGTACTCACCTAATACCTATATGGGTGAATTCGATAGTTATGGATACTTTTTTTGAATTTTGATTTTCTTTGTTGGCAGAACTGAAGCGATCCCTCTATGCTCTATTTTCCCAATATGGAAGAATTTTGGATGTGGTGACCCTAAAAACACCAAAACTTCGTGGCCAGGCATGGGTGGTCTTCGCTGAAGTTCCAGCTGCTAGTAATGCAGTACGACAAATGCAAAGATTCCCATTCTATGATAAACCAATGGTGAGTCCTAGTTAACCAACAGCACAATGATTTCAATGTAAACTTCCACCCCTCAGATAAGAGAAACATGTGCTGTTATACGGTTCAAACTTTTTTTATGGTCATTTTGTCATCATAGTGAGACACTGCTGAGCTGTCAATCTAATTATATGTGGACACCATGTGCATTATGTAAGTTATGAATTTGTTTGATAATTATTTGCTTAAATATCTGGTGCAGAGAATACAGTATGCAAAAACAAAATCTGATTGTGTTGCAAAAGCTGATGGGACATTTGTTCCAAGAGAAAAGAAGAAGAAGCAAGAAGAAAAGGGTATGCACATTTTCCTTTCATCTTTCTTGATCGACTATTCTTAAAGTAAGATGCTTTCTTTTCTCACTTGTTAATGTCAATGTATCTTTTTGAGCATCTAATTAGTGACAAAAGAATTGAGAAATAAATGCTCGATTACATCTACAAATAATAAGTTATGACAGTGAAGTTTGTGTTTTGACAGTCCTATAAGTTGTTTATTTTTCCCTCATTTTTGTGCAAATTTTCCTAATTTTATTGAGGATTACTTCTCGGTCCACCTGTCAACTAGTACTTCTATTCAACTGAGAGTAATATATTATATCAGACTATTTATTTCTCAGTTCCATAGATGTTGATCCCTAGATCCCAAAGCCCCTGAGAAATCTTGGAGGGTCACTATATAGATTCTTAAGCTTATTCTATATAATTAGAAAAAAAAAAAAAGTTTGATCACCTAACTGTTTCTGTGAAGTATTGCTTCTCTTAGCAGTCTGAGCTGGAATATTATTACCAACCAACTAGCATATAACACTTTTAGAACAGGTTAAGAAGCAACAGTGTGGATAACTGTTTCTGAGGAGTATTGCTTCTGCTAGCAGTCTGAGCTAGGAAATTGTTACCAACCAACTAGCATATAACAGCTTTAGGACAGGTTAAGAAGCAACAGTGTAGATAATTGTGATACCTTGATGAATCATGACATTTTTGTGTTTAGTTCACATGTAGAACTTTTTGTTCTTCCTGCAGATTGTTGTCCATATTAAATATCACAGGATTTGCATTATCCCATAGGTATGTGCAATAAATGGATAACAAGTTTGAATTATGCTGCTAATTGAAAATAAGCATGAATTTCGAGACAAAATAGTTCGAAGAATAAATCCAAATGATGTTCAAAATCTTTGTGATGTGGATTTTATTTGGCAATTACTTTTTGTTAGTTTTACCACACCTTCACCGAGTCATTTGGAGTTGCCACCACAGGATTCTAGAAGTCATAAAATTTACAGAATTCAAATGAAGGATCTACTATATGGAATATGTTCTTGAATCTACTATATTGCATACTCTCTTTGAGTTATTATCTTGTCTACAGATTAAAACATGGGCAGTTTTGCTCCTCCTTTCCCCTTCTATGAGCATGGATTTCCTGTTGAATAGTGATAATATCTTTTCACCTTGAAATTTTGGCTCTACATAATATTGCAACCATGTACCCTTACCAGATTTTTTTCCATGGAAATATAACTCTGTGATAATATTGTTTATGGGTTCTCAATCAGAAAATGATTTATTTTGCCTTTCTTGCTTTAGCTGCTGAAAAGAAACGCCGATTTGAGGAGGCTCAGCAATCTGCTTCTGCTGCTAATGCTCAAACTAATGGAGGGCTGTCTGTAAGTTTATTTGTCACATTAAAATGAATTCATTTATTGTGAATTTGATACCATCAATCATGTATGTTAGTTATGGAACAAAATCATATAAATAAGAGCAACATAATGCATATAATTGGCACTTTACAGTGCTAAGGTGCATGTAGTGATCCTGGTCTATGCTATTTTTAATCTAGGTACTATAGTATAGTGTGATCATTATTACGGATATCAAATTATGTTACTGAAGCTCCCAGAAAGGCATCCAACATTAGATTGCATTTGCTGTGGAGATATCACTAGGGATGAGGTTTTGTCCTGTTCTTAGGAGAAAGAAGTAAAAAGAAAGTTCTCGAGATTTGATTAGCCTTTTTCTTAACATTGTAGAGGTCAAACCTTGGTACAACAGTACGGTTGTTCCTTCGCAATAGCCTTCGCAACTATGGTGATCATCGAGTCACAGAAAGCACCTGTCTACTTGTAGGGTTAAGGCTGTCTGCTGGCTCATGCTCCTCCTCACATTAGTAGGAGTCTCATTCACTCATTTTGCTTTTTTAAGTTCTCTTTGATACAAGTTGTCACAATCCACCCTTATGAGAGAATTGACTCATTAACTTGATGGATCCTATGACTTTAAATGCTAAAAGCCAAACTCATGGTAGTAACTCCATTTAACACTGTATATAACTGCAATTATAATCTTACTTCCAATGTAGGAAGTATGAACTAAGTTGTCATTGCTCATCTCTAGAATACTCTTTAAGTGAAGCCAGTTCTGAAAACAGAATGATATTTTTGCTATCAGTGCTGTTAGGTTTATTCAATAGTTGATAATCCTTATTAGGGAAGATTATAGTTAAGAAATAAGTGGATAATTCTTATCATGGGGCACAATACTTATAGAAATAAAGCTTGATTTAAGAAAGTTTATTGATAGTTCAGCTTTCTATTTTTAATTATGTAATTATCAATTATGTACCACATTCTATTCTAGTATGATAAAGTTCTTAACAAGTATTGATATTGTTTATTAACTTCAATATTCTTAGTGATTCAGAGTTTAAAGTTCCAGGGGTGTACTCATTAGTTTGTAATCATTACTTACCTCTTATGACTTTGGATTTGGTGTACTTCTTGGGCCAAGGTCTTTTTCTCTATTGCCCACTTCTCTGGACACCACCCCCTTGCCAAACAAAATAAAAAATAACAAATGCAGGAAAAAAAAGAAAAAAAATAAAAACAAAGCTCCGGAAAAGATATGTGTGCTAAATGACAAAATTGTCAGAATTTTTTTTTCATGTACTTGACATGGTGTCCTCCCTTAGATTGGGTGTCATGCTATGCATCAAGCCAGTTGTTTGACATTAATCAGAGAAGAAATGCATAACTTAGTGTCTCCACTGTAAGCAGATTTGATGCAACGATGAAATAGCACAGAATACCTCATAAAGTATCTATGTTATGTCCTCTAGTTCTCATACGATCTTCTGATCTTGAAATCTTGCTATCGAGTCTTCTGGATTCTCTCCATTCCATCTGAGGTCTACATTGCATGATTGCCTCGTGATGCAACATGCTCAGCATCTAAAACTGCTTTATTTCCTTCTAATACTACAGGCTTAGAACATACTGACTCCATTACCATTGAACTATTTACTGCAGTCTGCCTTTTTTACTATAACATTGACATCATCAGCTGATTTTATGCTGATACCAGGAAGAACCATGCACAAAACCCATTAGCTCTGATGAAGTAAACCGAAATAACTTTCTACAATGACTATTTAACAGGAAAAGCCTCTGTAGTAGTAATCAGAATAGGCATTTATTGCTTTTCTTTTTAGGTACTTGTGTTCCCTAAACTCCTCAGTATGGCTTTAAGCTTTAGTTGAACCAATATCAGTCTCTTACGTATTGGAAGAAAAATTCATGTCATATTTGTGTGGAGTATTTCCTTAAAAGTTGGAAAGTTTATTCCTCAAGATATCCTATGATCAGAAGGGATCCTCAAAAATCTTTCTTGTTTACAGGCTTCGCAAGCTTCTCGCCAAGGAAAGACCAGTTCTCAGGAGCCCATGGCTGCTCCCAACAACATCCTTTTCATACAAAACCTGCCTCATGAAACAACAAGCATGATGCTTCAAATCCTTTTCCAGCAATACCCTGGTTTCAGTGAAGTCCGCATGATCGAAGCAAAACCGGGCATTGCATTTGTGGAGTTCGCCGATGATGTGCAGGCTTCAATCGCAATGCAAGCTCTCCAAGGTTTCAAGATCACCCCGCAAAACCCAATGGTCATCACCTACGCTAAGAAATGATGCTCTCTTTTCACAATGAAATCTCCTTTTACCATGGTATGTAAAATTTAGTCTGCATGTTATCAACCGCTAAACATGTTTTTACGGGGCGCAATTACATTTTCGATGTGATCTACTATTCAGCGTTGGATGTTGATGTGATGAATGGATGAATTGCATGAACCATTAAATGCCTTTAACCTGAATGTTGTTTGCATCCATTTGAAAATATTAGACAAAATAAGATTGCTTGCTCATATGAAAATATTAGACAAAATAAGATTGCTTGCTTGAAACAACTTTGGTCAAACTAATTGTTTACGGCCTTCTTTAACAGGGAACAACATGATGAACCAATCAAGACAGAGAGGTGAGTCAAATCTTGGCCAAGCAACGAGCTCAATGCAGCCTCTTCTCAGCTTTTGAATTTGATTGTTTTGCATGCTATTTTGTCCCAATCTATCAAACTTCTCTTTGCATGAATATATTATGCCAAAGGCAGACTCTATGTAGGAGGGTATTGATGAATATATCCAAGCAGGATTTAATAGTTAGTAACAAATGTACATCATCTGCCCATACAGTGGTGCTATACAAACAAATAAATAATTTCTAATCAACATATCAAAATCAATCTCTTTTGCTAATATCGGATTCATAGTGAAATTATTCTTGTGACTCAAACCTGATCATATAAGTGGCAAAGAAGCAATCTTATTGTGGCGCCATGGTCAATTCATGTTTTGGCATTACATTGATTGTTCCTACGATGTCACATTGGCTAGTTCTTCTCGTCTCCTCGATTGAAATTTCTGGATTCCTTCCATGTGTTTTAGCGATGGAAAACATGCTTATTATTCGCAAAGCCATGTAAGCACTTTTTTGGACTTTTCAAGCTGGCGTAGCCGACCTGTTCACTAGTCAACCCGACGACTTTGACTCTCTCTCTCTCTCTCTCTCTCTCTCTCACACACACACACACAGACGTATAACTTACGAGATATGTTATGCAAATATCAGTCCTCACCTTCCTCCACCTGTTCAACGACTATTAAGCTTCTCCTCTTCTCTCTCTCTCTCTCTCTCTCTCTCTCTGTCGCCATGGCTTCTTCCACGAGGAGCTTGGGGAGCTCAGCTGCGTCTATCTACGCCACCTTCACTGAGCTGTTGACAGGCGTCGGTAATAGCCAAGGCGAGGACATGACAAGGCTTGAGATGAGCCGGGAATTGGCAGGGGGTGATACAGGTGGCACATCCAAGTTCAAGTCTGCACCTCCTCCCTTCCTGCCTCTCTCCCCTCCTCCTCCATCTGCTTCCTTCTCTTTCCCAACCAGCCTCAGCCTTGCCGAGCTCTTGGAATCTCCACTCCTCCTCCCCTCTTCCTCTGTAAGTTGATAAGCCGAGCATGATTCACTCTTGTGATTTATGTGATTGGATATATGAGACTAACTTTTCCTTCTGCTCCTGCATAGATGTTGCCTTCTCCAACCACTGGTTCTCTCCCTGCACAGCATCTGAACTGGAGCGTCTCTGCTAATTCACAGGATGGAGCCTACTCCGACTTCTGTTTCCAAACCCAGGCAAAGTCTTTGATAAGAATTCCATGTAGTAATGATGCTTCTGTGCTTAAATTCCATGGATAACATGTCAAGGTTGGATTTGTCTTTTGATCATCACAGGGAGGAGAACGAAAACCCGAAGTCAAAGTTGAAGATGCTGTCCCAATTCATGCAAGTTCTTCTCAGGCCGTGAGAGGGCAGAGGAGATCAGATGATGGATACAACTGGAGGAAGTATGGCCAGAAACAGATTAAGGGAAGCGAGAACCCGGTCGGCTATTACAAGTGCACTTATCCCGATTGCCCAACGAAGAAGAAGGTGGAGATGTCCATTGATGGAGAGATTACTGAGATCGTGTACAAGGGCAGCCACAACCACCCAAAGCCTCTGTCCACCAGAAAGCTTTCAGCTCCTCTGCCTTCCCAGACATCCGATCATCGCTTTGCTGATCCAGTTCTGACACCTGAGAATTCATCAGTTTCTTGCTGTGGATCTGAGGCAAAGGAATTCGACGACGACGAGCACGACGCGAAGCGCTCGTAAGCTTCGGCACATGACTCAGTTCGATGCTTTTGCACGAGAATTGAAATGAGAGAGAAAGGGCTTTGTTCATCTTGCAGGAGGAAGGAAGATGAGGGTAAGTACTTCTCAGCTCCCGGAAACAGGACAGTTCGTGAGCCGAGAGTGGTGGTGCAGACTCCCAGCGACGTTGACATTCTTGACGATGGATATCGATGGAGGAAGTACGGGCAGAAGGTGGTCAAGGCGAATCGAAATCCCAGGTGAGCTCGCACTCCCATCTTCTCCTTGGAGCTGCTTGTCTCTCTTCCTACTCTTCCTATCACACCATGTCATGAACAGGAGCTACTACAAGTGCACCAGTAATGGCTGCCCGGTTAGGAAGCATGTGGAGAGGGCATCAAACGACCCGAGATCGGTGATCACCACGTACGAGGGAAAGCACAACCATGATGTTCCTGCAGCTAGAACACCTCAACCTGATTCAGCCATGGCTGATCATGTTACCCTCTTCCCCTACTAACACTCGGATTCCTACAGAACATGTTCCTCGAGTCTGTGTCGAGCAGAGATTGATGTAAACTGTTTGTCATGTGAACCGTGTCTTAGAAAATTACAGGAAAATAGCTATATATTTCACTGATTTATTCTGTGCAAGTGATGCTGCCAATATAGATCATCGAGTAGTAATCTGCTCTCAGCTTCATAGGGTTTCAAGTTCATATGATCATGTCTCTTCATAGATCGACTACAATTCCAATTCAAATGATGCATGATGAAACATAGAAACACTTGTTCTTGCTCGGTTCTCTAGTGGCCTAAAATGGTTGAAATGAGAAGGAAAGGGAAGACGAGAGTACACGATGCTTACAAGAAAAAACAAGTCTGATTAGTTTGAGTTGATGACCAGAGTTGCAACAGCTGTAAGCCTGAAACATTCTCATCACCCAGATGAACAAGATCTCAGAGAAGTCAAAGTCAAAGATCTAAGGCGGTAGGATTCTCCTCCACGTGTTGGCCGGACACGCTGACAAAGTCGTATCTGGTAGGTCAACTTGTCCTTTTTGTTGACTCCATGGAAATCTTCTGCTGACTGTCACTGCCGACACATGTTTCAGAAGGCCTACACATATTCCTGTCTTGGTTGACAAGGTTTGTGAAGGTAAGTCAATGGTATAGGCTACAATTGCCACTGTTTCTTAGTCTCTATGTTAGCAGGATAAAGAATGCTGCATTGATTTATTATTATGAAGTTTGCTTGGTAACCCTATTTTAATATTAATAACTCTCTAATAAATAATAAAATATAAATCTATTATATATGGTCTCTCAATTATCACAAATAATAATGATCTATCAATTATCAAATATATCGATCTTAAGTTCGGATTAAAAAAGTGGAGGTTGTGTTAGGTCATTGACCGTAAAATTATAATATATTTTTATGACTATAAATTTTAATTGATTTTAATATAGAGCTAGATAATTATAGTGATGCAATATACTTTTACCACCTAGGTGTTCTATCGATGTCACTCATCACATCGATGTCCTATCGAGAAGTTAAGGGTTCTCTCATTTGTTTTAGATTAATGTTAATAAAAGTTAGTCCAAGAATATAGAGTTAAATTAGTAAATTAGAATATACGAATATTGATGCCCAGATGTATGTCAAGAAGTTAAGGGTTCTTTCATTTGTTTTGGATTAATGTTAATAAAAGTTAGTCCAAGAATATAGAGTTAAATTAGTAAATTAGAATATACGAACACTTTAAGGGAATGAATTATAATTAGTAAGTATTTTGATTACAAGAAAAATAAATATTATTTGCTTATAAGAGACTAAGTAGATAAGAGAAAAATATAGAGAGATTGATAGTACTAAATTTAAAATTTGATATATTAGAAAAACTAAACATAAAAATAATATAGGAAATATTATTGAAAAGGATCTTAAGAAAAATATTATAGATGTAAAAAGATTTAGAGATAGAATTATAATTCTAAAATTTATGAAAAGATAAGATGTTTTGAATATGTATTAGTGCTTATGTCCTTTAAGTTGAATGGATGATAAATAAAAAAAGAATATTGGAAAAACTTAGATGACATGGAATGTATATAATTGAAAACTCATAATTAGAGGAGATTTAAATTATGATAGAGAGAAAACATATGTTGAATATAGAGGGGTGTAGGAGGTTTTAGTTATAGGAAGATGAATGAAGATGATGGTTTGATTTTAGATTTTATAATTTTGTATGATCTTATAATTATAAATACTTACTTTAAGAATAGAGATGAACATTTAATTACCTATAAGAGTGCTCAGAACCATAGTTTGTTTTTTGTTAGAAATATAGATAAAGTTATTTATGAGAATTATAAAGTTATACAAGACGAAAGTTTGATGAATCAACATCATATTAGATATTTACTATAGAAAATAAAATAAAATAAGATAGAAAAAATTTTTACTAAGACTAGATAGTAAAATTTTAAAGATGATAATATAAATATTTTTAAGAATAAAATATAAAGAAAGATGATTTTAAATTTAAATGAGGATAATATTAATATTATTTAGGCTATAATGATTAATAAGATTAAAAGTTTGACAAAAGAGATTCTTGATAAAACTAAATATAGAGGTATAATCTTAAGAAAGAGTCGATGGTAGTGCGAGGAAGTCTAAAAAAATATTTTTTATTAAAAGATCATATTTTAAAAATTAATAAAATTATAAAAATAAGATATAATTTAAAAGATATAATTAAACTAAAAAAGAGACTCTAAAAATGCTTAGTATGATAAGATATAAATCATATGATAATTTTTTATAATAACTTAAAAATTAAAAAATTATAAAATTATAATATTAAATATATTAAAAACGACTATCAAAGAACATGTCATGACTAACATGTTAACCCTCTTCAGTCATGGCTGATCATGTTAACCTCTTCCCCTACTAAGACTCAGATTCCGATAGAACATGTTCCTCGAGTCAGTGTAGATCAGAGATTGACGTAAAGTGTTTGTCATGTTAACCATGTCTTAGAAAATTACAGGAAAATAGCAATATATTTCATTGATTTATTCTGCACAAGTGATGCTGTCAATATAGATCATGAAGTGGTAATCTGCTCTCAGCTTACTAGGGTTTCAAGTTCATATGATCATGTCTCTTCATAGACCGACGACAATTCCAACTCAGTCGATGCATGATGAAGCATATAAAGATTTGTTCTAAAATGGTTGAGTTGAGAAGAAGAAGAAGGAAAGAGAAGACAAGAGAGTCAATGATGCTTGCGAGAATAAAATAATCTGATTAGTTTGAGTTGATGGCCAGAGTTGCAACAGATGTAAGCCTTGACACATTCTCCTCCAAACTCCCTGGCAAAGTCGTCTCTGATAGGTCAATTTGTCTTCTTTGTTGACTCCATGGGAAGCTTCTGCTGGCTGTCACTGCCAACACATCTTCTAGAAGGCCTACAATTCTTCTTGTTTCGGTTGACATGGTTTGTGAAGGGTAAGTCAATGGTATAGGCTACCATTGCCACTGTTTCTTAGTCTCTATCTTAGCAGGGTAAAGAATGCTACATTGATTTATTAGGATGTTTGCTATTGGTAACCCCATTTGGTTATTGGTAACTCTCTAATAAATAATAAAATTAAATTTATTATTTATTATCTCTCAATTATCAATCATAATTTTATTTTTATTCGTCGATCGGAATCGTAACTACGTTGACGCCACTTTTTGCCATTCCATCATCCAACGTCGTTAATATCGACATCGCTTGACGTCCTCGTTGCTCGACGAAGAAGATATTTATGTTTGCCTAATATGATATTACTCTTTGCCACTCAGAAGGAGGAGAAAAAAATGACAAAGATAATTAGATAATTTAAGTCCATTCAAGAAAGGGTATATAGAAGTATCAAAAGTTATTAAAATAGGGTTATAAATAAATAGCAAATAAATCACGAAGAGAAATCTCCTTTGATTCTAAGTTTATACCAACGGACTGATTGATTAAGATCAGCTTCAACAGTATACGGATTGAACACGTTGACGTGAACAAGAAAGTCAACCAGTGCAGTGCCAGCTATGATTTCAATCTCTAATGCACACACAAAGACTAAAAGCCTACACTACTCAGATAACTCAGAGCAAGGAATGTAAAACATCTAAGAAGATGATGATCTGCAGACGAAGTATCTGTAAGCAGCCACCTTCCTTCTCCTCGAGTTGGTGTTGTCTACGGACAGCACCATCTTCCCTGCCTCCTTGGCAGTGAACACATGGTGGATCGGCTCGTCTGCCGTGGCCGGAATCCTCCTCGTCTTCTCCACGACGACCGTGTAGCCTCCAGCGTCGCTCGGCACGTACTCAGCGCCGTAGTCTAAGTCCCATCCTCCCACCACCATGTCCCAGGTGATGGTCGCCCCTCCCTGGTCCACGATTCAATCACAGTGCAGTGGTCTACGGCCAACCGGAGAAGACAAGTGGAGATCAGTTTACCTCAATGCCGTCGATCTCAAGGCTCATTCTTTCTCCACCTTTGATGGTGAACTCGGTGGTTGGCTTGGGTGGGCCGTTCTGGAGATCCCCGGGCCTGCTCAACCCTCCGTACTGCACCGGCACGAACTCCGGCCTGATGAACCTGCAGCCAACGCATGTTGTAACAGAGATCACTGAGCGGAGAAGTTTGGATAGATTACCTGTAGAGTGTCTCAGCCACATGCCCTTCTCTGGCGATCACGAACTTGCTCTTCGTCCTCTCCGTCAGAAATGGACCGATCATTGAGTACATCACGGTAAAATACCACGGCACGTTGACGAACACCTGGTGTGGAGGTGGAAGGGCTGGTTAAAGAACAGAGATGAAGCAAAGAAGAGAGCTCGCCGTGCGCTGACCTTTCTCGTGACCATTTCAGGGTAATTGTCCTGAAAGAGGGAGAGGATGTGATTGGAGGCGGCGCGGAGCTGGCGCTTGGGCATGTCCTTGAGGTCGGTGACCTGGATGATGGAGTTGACGCCGCCGGGACGGAGCTGGAGCAGGCGGACGCCGCGCTCCATGACCTGGATGCGCCACCGGAGGAAGCGCTTCAGCTTCTCGGGGTTGCCCAGCACGCTCTCGTACACGGCCTTATCCCTGAATACGCCGTAGGCGTTGTAGCAAACGGGGTGGCCGCGCCGGTCCCAGCCGTGCATGTACGCCACCACGCCCTCCAGCTCCTTGAACCCCACCAGCTCCTCCTCCGCCACCCCGTCGGCGCCGAACTCCCGTCGCCACTCCGCGCACCGCAGCAACATGTCGTGCGCCTGCCCCGCGTCGAAGTCGCGGGCTCGCAAGAACTTGAGGAGGACGACGTCGGCCCGGTCGTCGCCGGGCGCGGAGGAGGCGAGTGGCACGCCCCACATGGAGATGGGCGTGGGGGAGGCGGAGAGGAGCTGCTTGAGCTCCCGAAGTGCCTTCTGCTCGGACGACTTGAGGGTGGAGAGGAGGTAGGTGTCCTCCTTGAACGAAGGGGAGCTGTCGGGGACGGTGGAGACCGCCGTGGCGCCGGTTGTGGCCTCCATGAGAGAGCTCAACAGGCTTCGCTTGGTGGCAGGTTTGGAAGAATGAACGGGCTCACTGGTTGCTTGAGATGCCTCCATTGTAAGAGTTGAGAGAAGGAAGAGAGACCAAGGTACGTAGTCTTCCTCTTCCTTGTGTTGACTGCTGCTACCCTTACTACTACTATTGCTTTAGTAGAGAGAGAGAGAGCTTTTATTGTGTCATGGACATGAATGATCCGTGAGTGTTCTTGTTGAATGATGTGTTGTGTTCTATTATCTTTCTGTTCTCTTCACCAACACATCACAAATCTTCAAAGATGATTCCACAATCTATTTCCTAAAGCAGTCGCCTTTGGCAGCATCAAAGATTGATATTACAATGGCGCAACAAAAGGACTCCAACAAGACCAAAAGCGAGACTGTGCTTTGCCACCATAAAGAGACAGATGCTTAAGGAAGGAACCTTTTAAACTAAAGCTCAAGAATGACTACCACAACAGTGATCTCCTTGGATTTGAAGATGAGATCAGTCTTCTTCTTTAGGATCTAATTCCGAATTGAAACAGCATTTAGGGAGAGCAATGGCTTTTAGAAGCTCACTTTAACCTTATGCAGTGACAGAAAGGTTGGGTTTGAATGAGATTGGCAAGTTTAGTTTTGGATGAGGGCAAAAGAAGATGAAAGAGATTTGAGCAAAGCTTTCTCGTAGACCGAGAGAAGTTTAAATTAAAGGATCACAAGTGTGGAACACTGTGCACGTCTGGGTAGACTGATGAGCTGCATGGCTTCTTATCGTAGTGCATTAAGCTATAAGGTAATTATTATCCTGATAGATGATTAGAATACATTTCCAGGTCTGATCTCAAGTCTACGATTGATTGCACATCAAAGATAGGATTAGTCAATGAGGTGGATTAGTTTGAAATGATAAGACTAATTAGTTTAGCATCATTCCGTGGGAGAATCTTATGCAGCAGATTTAGGTAGGGAGTGTCGAGCAATGCCAAAAGTAAGTGAACGATTTAGGTAGGGAGTGTCGAGCCGAAGTCGAGCAATTCCAAGAGTAAGAGAAAGTTGAAGGAGGAATCATTAGTGGGTGCATTTGTTGGCTTCCATATCAACTTTCTTTTTTCTAAATACCACAATCGCGATGGATGATTGATCCTTTTTTTTTTTTTGTGTATGTTAAACTAGAATGACGGATCTAAAATGCTTCATCATTTTTAATGATGATAATGTGCGACAAATCATTTTTACGAGATCTAAACATTGCAACAGATCAATGAGAGACTTGGCAACTCAATAATGACTGACTTCGATCGCCAAACAAACCAGAAGAAGAAGAAGAAGAAGAAGAAGAAGAAGAAGAGGAGCAGATGACAGTGCCACAATACAACACGAGGACTGCAAATTACGAAGACGCGACTGAGGATTTGGAACGTCGATCAGCACCGAGGAAGGTCAGCCGGAGGCGGCTCCAGAGACTGCAGCTTGCCGACGCCGTTCTCCACCAGGAACGCCATGGCCAAGCCCCAGGTGATGTGCACGTCGAGGTGGCAGTGCATCAGCCACACCCCCGGGTTGTCCGCCACGAACCGGATTACTGCCCACCCGTTCACCGGCACCCCCACCGTGTTCCGCAGCGGCGGGTCCACCAGGTTGAAGCTGGCGGCGTCCCTCGCGGGGTCGAAGTTGCCGAACCCGGTCGCCAGCACGTAAAAGTGGTACCCGTGGATGTGCATGGGGTGCTCCTCCCCCGCGAAGATGTTGGTGCCCTGCAGCACCAGCTGCACCACCGACCCGTACTTGAGCGGGTACAACTTCGTCCCTGGCACAGGCTGCCACAGCGCCCGGCTGATGTTGGCGGCGGTGTAATCGAACTGCACCGGTGGCGCCGCAGGGAAGTCGGTGGTGAACACCCCCCGCACTCCCAGGTGATAGGCTTGCAGGATGGAGATTCGGGTGGGCAGCTGGAAGGAGACGTTGTTCATGCTGGCGCCGAAACGGGTTCCGTTGGGGCCGCCGCAGCGCCGGCCGGGTGGGCAGTTGAACAGGCCCAGTCCAACGGTGAAGAAGAGGTGGTGGTCGATGGGGCTAGGAATCTTGACGGGGCGTGGGCTTCTGATGCCGGCGGCGAAGGCAGTGGCGGTGGGCGTGTCGTTGAAGGCCGGGAGCACCGGGAACGCTGGGAGGACTCCGGGGCGGTTCTTGGTGGGGCACCCGCTGTTGGTGTACTCGAGAATGGCGGTGGTGGTGGTGTTGTCGAAGGCGACGCCGCGAGCGCTGGCGTAGGCGTGGGCGGCCATGTAGTAGCGCCCGGCCGGCTGGTCGGCTGTGAGGAGCACGTCGGTCGTCTGCCCCGGAGCCAGCATAAGGACCGAGGTGGTGAAGGGCTTGGTGTAGGCGGCGTCGGCCGCCACCACCGTCATTTTGTGGCCAGCGATGCTGATGAAGTGCTCGTTGTTGAGGGCCGCGTTGATGAACCGCAGCAGGTTGGTCTCACCGGGCGCCACCGTGAACACCGTCGTCTCTGTAAGGTGTACCACATACGATCACTCTCTACCATGAGAACAACACCATCGTCACCACCTCTCACTGACGATCGAAATATTACCTTTGTTGGAGCATTTGTAGAGATCGCCGGGCTGGCCATTGATTGTGAAGGCATCGGACACATTTGGGGCGGCTCCGGTCCTCGCCGCCCGCCGCACGACACGGATGGGATCCTCGTTCCACCACTCCCCTGTTGAACAGATGATTCATCAAGAGGATTTCAGAGGAGTTGTGTCATCATACAAGTCACTCTTCTCTTCTTTACGTCATATTCAAGAACTTGGTGTGGCCATGTAACCATGTGTTTGCAGAGTTACGTCCGCTTGAACCCTTTGAAGAAGAAGAAGAAGAGGAAGAGGTATAGTACCAAGGATAAAGGGGATTTCTTTCTTGGGCGTAGGGAAAGGGTAGGAGCCATGTTTAGGGTAGATGATGAGAGCGCCGTGGACGGTGGCTCTGAGCCAGGAGCTGTGCGCGTGCCACCACAGCGTGCCTTCCTGCTCCTCGATCGTGAACCGGTACGTGTAGCTGCCGCCGGGCCTGATGGGGCACTGCGTCACGAACTCGGGGCCGTCAGCCCACGCCGTCCGCAGCTGCCGAACGCCGTGCCTGCCGACAACACCGCCACCCGGCCATCAGATCTCTCCTGAACCAAACCAAAAACAGCGTCTACGTGCATGCATGAACCGGGAAGGAGGTACCAGTGAAGCGTGACGTTGTACTTGGCCCGGTTGATGACGTTGACCACGAGCGTGTCCCCGTCCCTGACCGCCAGAGTCGGGCCGGGGTACTGGCCGTTGACTGTGATGATGTTGTGGGTCCTGCACAGCCTCTTCACTGGGGTCGCTTCCACCTGCGCGCGCGAACACACACACGCACGACTTAACTCAAAACACGTACACACGACACAGGAACGAGGAGATGTAACAATAAGCACATACGACAGACATACCACGAACTCATGGTGGTGGACTTCAGCACTGGCACAGCCAAACAGCAGCAACAACAGCAAGCATTGGATGATTGAGTCCTTGAGAACCTCCATGTCTCGACTCAATCCTGTTATGGGTGGCGGTGGTGGTGATGGAACAGAGAATGAAGGGGGTTGGCTTATATATGCACACCAGCAATGGGTTTGTTTGAGGTTGGAAGATTAGGTTTTGGATTTGTGGAGACAGTGAATGCAGGTCCTTAATCAAACTCTAGAAAGACAGTTAGCAGTACATCTCTTTGGGAGTTGTTACACCCACCGGATCACCACGAAAATTGCATCAATGCTTGCAGCACAAGCCTTCTTCCACAATGAGGGGGTTGCTTTCCTTGATGAGAAGAACTCCATCATTGCAGGTTTGTATTCCAATTGATTTGGTAATGACATGTACATGCAGATAACGGAAGTTAAAGGAGTCATAGATAACTGCTCTAACCTTTTTGACAGCTAGCTGAACTAGCCCACTATTTAAAGTACTTTTTGCAGTCTTTGTAGGAATTATGACACATTGTGATGGTGTTTGGTTAGGGTTGGTGGAGGAGGAGACACCTCAGCCAGTAGTTCTCAGGTAGAAGGTGAAATGGGCCTTTAAAGTCCGTCAGCAAGTTCGAAAAATTGAATCTAACTAATTTGACCCTTCATGTCTCCAGATTTCTTCTGGTTACACTTCATCAATCCATAACTGCTTGATTTATGACATCTACTAGAAAAGGAAGCTTCAAGTCAGTTGGCTTCTTCAGCTGAACCATATTGACGATACAATGCAATGCAAACTCACCCAGTTAAGGCAGGTAATAAACAGGATTGAACTGGAGTTATGGCAGCTAAAGAACAAATTCTAATTAGAATACATGAATGCTGCTGTAGAACCCCTTTGAAATCAACAACATAATCTGTACAGGAAAATGTTTTTTTTATAAGGATACTAATCATTTTTAGCAAGAATTTTTTTCTAATAAGATACATGTAAAAAATAACTGTTTTTAGATGAGGCAGAAGGTCATGAGCTGAACTGATGTAGAGGTCTCATGAAGATATATTTGCCTTAGAAACAGTTCGAAGGCAAAACATAAATTAATTTCTTAAAAGTTAAAATGTACTTTGATATATACTTACTCGAAATAACAAGAGAGCAAACGAAATCTGCCCAAAAACCCATTTCTTTCTAACTGGATCTCGTTTAGGCTCTCCCTGGATCATGTTAACTTTCCTCTTTTCTATTCCCTGGTTTAAAGCTTCCAATCTTCTTCTGCACATGAAAAAAATATTAACATTAAATGGTAGTTAAAAAAAAAAGCTTTAACATCTGATACAAGAAACTTTCATGTTTATAAAATATAGTTTATCAGTGAAAAGCTACAGACACACTAGCACAAGGCTGCACTGTTTGCTAGGTGGTTTCCTTCACTCTTTGCATCCATCTCCTAGAATTATATGCATGTCTATCCTTGAGTCAACGATTTGGGAACTCATCCAGTATTTGATATCAATATAATGATGATATTAAACTGGAACTCCTGGTCTCTAGATGTTCTTATAGTTTATACAATTTTATATTCCAATAAGGCAATAACAACATATAAGATATGCTGACATGACATTATTATACATGACAAAAAAAAAAATGGACTTCGTACAATTGTAATGTAAAATCTTATGAAACTTATCACAATAAAGATAATTCACTAAAAACATGAAAAAATTAGAAAGGTACTCAGTATCCTCAAGGTGTCCCTGCAAACTCCAGCGCTGATGAAATCCTTCCATGCCTTGAATTCCACTTGCAAGAATCATGTGCCTAGAAGAATTCATAATATAAATGGAACTTTATAATTAGCTAAGAAAAGAAGATTTTGCACTCAAAATCATTAATAATGAATTCCATAATGTAGAAACAATCATTGCTTTGTATCACATATAATGGATTTTTTCTTCCAACTCTAAGGTACACCACATTTTAGTAAGTACTAAGTGATATATTAGCTTTTATTAGGACAGCTTTTTCTAAATGTAAACAGTTACTAGCAACTATCTGCACTTTGGTTGAGCATATAAAAGGTCAGTTAAGAAAATAAAGATCACATAGTTTTTTCTATCTTTCACTTCTATCAAATGAACCACAATGTTGGATAAATAAACAAAGGGGTAGATAAAATGTTAATCCACAATCATTTGCAAATATATCAGATGCAATTCTGGCTATTTAATCAAGTTTGATGACATATATGTTCCATGAAGAGATACGTGGATTACATTATAAAAGAAAAAAGAAAAAAGGAAAGATGCAATGGAGGGACTTGTCATTCTACCATTCTCTAGACCATTGTGACTACCATATATCAGAAAGACAATAAAAAGCTAAAATATTGTACCTTTCTAAAGATGTAACCTCAGATTGAAGTTGAGCAGCTCTTTCCTTTACTTCTTCAATGGGCATGGACAATCCCAATTTATGTTCACTATCTGAAAGTCTCCGTCTTAGCTCTTTATCCTATTAGAAATTTGTCCAACAGACAAGTCAAATATCAATTCGAAGGACCAAATAGAATTTTGTATAACACAATGAAAGAATACATAAATGTTACCAACCCTTTTTGCAGCACACTCTCGATACAAGACAATCTCATTAGTGAGTTCCATGGTAATGTTCAAAATAAAGTTCAATGATTCAATGACATCAATTTATTTTTTTGGTGACGAGATGGATACTAGCACCAGTGTTTTTAAAAGGCGCCCGGGCACTCACCTAGGTGCTTGACTGAGCCAAGGTGCTGAGCGCCTCAAGCGAGCGCTCAATTGAATCCAACAAATCGAACCAGATTTTGGACTCTGGTTCAATTCAATAGTGAGTTGGTTGGTTCAATCGAACCAACTAAGTCCAATAGTAAACATCGAAACACACCCTGCTCCCCCAACTCGCTTGATAAACCCAAGGATCCGCCGCGGCATCCTCTGCGGCCGATGGAAGGTCCAATCTTCCACTTGCGCTACTGACTAAGTCCTCTACCACCGATGTAAAGGTCCGAATCTTCCTCCTTAGCCACTGCTTTTTTTTTGCGCAGCTCCTTCTACCGTCTAATCTTTCATGTGCAGCTCCCTCCGCCGTTGAGGGATAGGACAACTTTCTCTATCGCTGCCACCGCCATCCGCAACTTCCTCCACTGCCGTTGCCGCTGTCCGCAGCTTCCTCCGCCGCCACTGCTGCCGTCCGCAGCTTCCAGAGTAAGGTGCATGGAGCTAGTCACTACTGAGAACTAGCAATAGCGCAACGAACAATCAAGGGCAAAAGCGGCTCTCTCATGAGTATGTTCCCCATCTTTGTAGGTCTTAATCTAATCAATCAGGGGCTTTCGTTTAGTGTGGTTGATTCGATACGTTCTTTCCTTCTAAGAGCTCTCCTTGACTCCTTGAAGAAATCCTTCCGTTGGGGGGCGTTCCCAATAATCCATCTCAACCTTTAGTTTAACAGACTCTCGGAAAGATACCGGAGTTGTCATATCTATATTCTTAGATCAGAATTCTTGCTTTTACTACACCTCAAACTCAAAAAAGAAAGAAGAGGTATAGCGAGCGCCAGCGCATCTGTCCGGAAGTCTCCTTCGCCCAGCCCTAGAAGGAAGGAGGATTGCTTCTCTCATCAGTAGGCAAACTTCGCTTTCATGCATCGGGATAATAGTTTCACCTATGACTAAGCTCTGTGACTAGCTCCATTGTCATCATCTAAGTTCTTCTTCATCACGGCATGACACGATCAATTCTACTCTTAGGGCCTTCATTCAGAGCAGACCAGACTCTTCTTTGTTTCAGCTGCTCCCAGCAGATCAAGATCATAAGCGGTGCTCAAGTCTGCTGGAACCGCAAGTCCCGTTTCGTTTTCAGGTCGCGTTCGGGTGCTCGGAAAGTCGACCAGAGAATCTGCAGTAGAAAGTCCGGGTAGGGCTGTAGCTCAAAGTAAGGCAGGAAAGAATCTTAGTCTGACTCTCAAAAACAATGGATCAAGCAAGTAGAAAAGCGGAAGATGGAAAGTCATTACAATTCTTGTTTTCGGGAGTTAAGTTCGGAAAGTCAAAGAAGATAGGCACCCTGCTTTCCATTCCATTCCAGTCTATTCTCTAAGACAAACAGATTCAGTCCTGTATTCATGGCGGTAAGGCTGCTCTTCCACTACTCCAATGGGAAAAACCCTATGTTGCCCTTTATCAGCTCTTCTAACGCATTTTGACCTAATAATATCACCCTTTCTTCTCTTGCTAATACATCTCCTGCTCCAAAGTCAGCATAGGAATGGGAGGTTCCTGTTCTTAGGAAGTATCCAGTTGTTGGCAAAAGAAAGAAAGCCCTTATAGATGCAAGAAAGGGAAGGTAGTCTCTAAATCCACATTTGAAAACACCACATCTTTTCTTTGTGCACACATGTCTAAATCACATAAACTAAGATTCCTTCTCAGAAAGATATTCTTTATTTATATATATATATCAACTTCACTGCATTGATGACAAAGAAGCTTAGATGAGACATTTCCCCAGAGTGGATCCCGATATGGCTTTTGGACTTCTGCTCGATCATCGGCTCTTTCGCAAACTGCCTCACTGCCGCTGCTGCCACCACCTATAGCTTCCTCCGTTGCCGCTACCGCCATCCGAAGGTTCCTCCGTCACCATCACCGTCACCCTCTCGTTCCCCACCTTCCACCGTCGGTGACTCCTCTTCTCCCACCCTATTAAGCACTATTATAACTACTATTAACAGCGGATTGTTAATCCTAGTACTGATATTTAAACTATTATTAACATATTTTATATTATATATTATAATATATTTTAAAATTATATTATATATTTTTTATATTTTAATATTCTAGAGTGCTTCGCTTCGCTTGGGCGGGCGCCTAGGCGAGTGCCTCAAGAATTTTAGGATCTTAGCAGGCCTAACGCTTTTAAAAACATTGACTACTAGAGTTATATGACATGATTCACTATCATTTACATAAATAAAGATTCCTTAGCACTCCATCACATAGATCAACACCTTCGAGAACATAAGATGCAATCTTCGGGGGAATGGTAGGTTAAGGAAGCCCTAGCATAAGGCCATCACCTACTTACTAAAATTGTTTCTTCTATGGTTGGCTGTGAATCAACTGAAGCAAGATAAACAAAACACATTAAAGCAATACAACCATAAAAATATTATTCCAAGCAGAACCACCTAACTGTTACACAAATCAGTACAGTTTCAACAAGTACAGTGGTCTAAAACAAAGGCATGATAAGGAGTCAAATTTACTATCGACTGAACAAATAGCTCACAAAATAATAAGTGACAAGCACATAGACAAACACAGTTACACAAAATTCCAGATAATGCATTCAATAACTAGAGATGAATGATGTCATTTGAATTGGTTGCTAAAATAATATCATAACACACTATTTAGTTACTAACACAAAGCCGTGACAAAGTCTGAGAAAATAAAGCTTGGATACAAGAAAAAAAAAACTAGATGAACTAAAATTAAAATTGTTGTGATTTTAGAGCCCAGAATCCACAAAATTTTGAATCAAGTTCGAACTCATAAACCCACTTCGTTATCTATGGTTTCCCAATAAAACCTTGATTTTGCAGATACTGAAGAAAAAAATGAAAATATCAATATTTATTAATCAACCTTCCAAGTAGATGCTCAGTGCAATGATTTCTTCAACAATGTAGTTCAAGACAAGAATTAAATTGCTAAAGTTCCTTCCCAGTAGACAACAAGTTCATTAACATAATTCCCAACCTAAGGAACTAGATCAATCCTTTTGTATCCTGAAATAAGATATTTCTCTTTTTTCCTTCTTTTTTCTTTTTGGAGAGTTGTTTGTTGAAACAAGTAATTAAAGAAAGCAATACAGTCATAAGATATGATTTTTTTCATTTGGAACACAGTGCCAATGATGGAATAATAAGCATACACACTGCATAAAATAAAAAAGCAATTAGATGCATCTATTTTAACTTACTGCCAATCAAATCTGCAAGAAGAAAGTGCAATTAGTCTAAAGCGTCAAACAAACAACTAGTCTGAAATGTATGATCCGCTCTTGTTGTAGATAGCCCCTGTTGGTGTGAACCTAATTATAACAGTTTTACCTCCCTATTATGCATACCAAAGGAACCAGAAAATACATGAGATGGAAAGATTTTCTACCATCCACGATTGCACTACTGGTATGTGTCCTCCCTCTGGCAACGACTACGAATACCTCCATAGGTTAACCCCAACGCAGATGATGTTTGGCATCGACGATTCAGCTACAACAGAAACAAGGCATTATAAGTAAATTCCAAGGCAGCAATCAGTGACATTAATGTCAGTTTTGATCAGATCGTATAGATTAACTAACAGTATTTATCCAAAAAGCCAGTCAGAATGTCAAGTCAATCATCCTCTGTACATTGGAACAAGCAAGATGCCTTTCAAATATAGTTCTTCACTGTCAATTTGTGAATATGAAGCAGCAAAATGGCATCCCTTGTTTTTTCGAGCATTACGTCGAACAGGTGACGCGCAACTGTTTGTCAACTGGATGAGGAGCCATGTAAAGAAATAGCATGAAGTAAGAAGAAGAAAACGGCTAGAAAGAGAGCTAAGCACGGAGAATCTATCGAAGGAAAACCGGGTTGGAAGAGGAGACAGCGGCACATTGTTGCTCGTCGTCTGGGCGACAGCGACGCTCGAGGGAGGAGGTTGCGAGAGCCACCAAAAGCAGCATTAAGGCGGATGACTGCACCCAATAGAAGGCTGGGATTTCACGAAGCGCCTTCTCTGTACAAAGTAGAGATGGGCCCGTGCTGCTTTCACATAGATGACACGTGGAAGTACAAATGGACGATAAATTAGCACCAACGGATGAACGAGATATGGAATTAAATGTTTGATTACTCAATTCTTGTAGATTTATATGCTTAATTAATCAATCTCAATTAATTAAGTCATGAATTGTGAATTAATCTGTTTAATTAATCCATCGGACACAACGACGGTCACGTGACCCGTGATTTCTGTTACGGCAGTGTCCAACTCTCCCCTACGACTCTCTCTAACGAGTCCTTATCGTCACCGCCAGTGCAACTACCCCTCTTCATTCGTAACTTCCCCTCCGAACGCTTCTTTATATCTCCTCTTTCCCTCCGAATCCCGTCGAGATTTATCTCACCAATTTGCTTCTTTGTTTCTCTTCTTGCAAATAGACAATCAAACAATCATGATGGGTCTGGAGGCGTTCTTAGGGTTTGCCTCAATCAGGGCGAGAAAAGAGAGGGAGAGCCTCGCCCGCTCCGACGCCGCCGCCTCAGACTGCCGCACCGCCATACCCTCCTCCCTTCCCTCCGACGTAGATCCCCTCCTCTTTCCCACTCCCCGCGGCGGTGACTCCCCTCCGCCGTCGTCCTCCTCCGTCCTCGAGCCGCCTTCCTACGCAGACGTTGTCTTCGGCCCCTTTGAATCCAGCAATGGCGCGTCCGATCAGGGGCCCTTCCTTCGCCTCGATGCCTCCCCCAGATCTGTCCGCGCCGTCGCCTCCGATTACCGCCGTATCGCCGTATCCGACCCGCAGACAGAGGTGGAGGCCTCGAACTCGCTCGTCCCAGGCGGGACGACCTACGTCACCTACCTCATTACCACCCTCGTCCGTCCGGGCTCCGATGACGCCGGCCCCGAGTTCAGCGTCCGGCGGCGGTTCCGCGACGTTGTGACGCTCGCTGACCGGCTTTCTGAGGCATACCGCGGCTTCTTCATCCCGCCGCGGCCTGATAAGAACCTGGTCGATAGCCAGATAATGCAGAAGCACGAGTTTGTGGAGCACCGACGGTTGGCGCTCGAGAAGTACCTGCGGAGGCTCGCGGAGCACCCGGTTATTGGGAAAAGTGATGAGCTTAGGGTGTTCCTGCAGGAAAAGGGGAAGCTGCCGCTGCCAACGACGACCGACGTGGCTTCGAGGATGATGGATGGGGCGGTACGGCTGCCGAAGCAGCTGTTCGGGGAGTGGGCGGCCGCACAAGTCGCGCCACAGGACATCGTCCAGCCTGCGAAGGGCGGCAGGGATTTGCTGAGGATATTTAAGGAATTGAAGCAGGCCGTGGTCAATGACTGGAGTGGAGTGAAGCCATCGGTCGTGGAGGACAAGGAGTTTTTGGAGAGGAAGGAGAAGATGCAGGACCTCGAATGGCAGCTGACCCCCGCATCACAGCAGGTATGTGAAAATTACTGAGAAATGGAAGTGGAGTCTGGATGCTCGTCTGATCCACTGATGAATGTGGTATCTGTTGCAGTAGATATGGTCTTAGAAATTGAATTAAGAGAAAAGATCGTTTAGTTTACTTCAATTTTATTGTTTTTGTACAAAATTTGACTTAAGAATCTAACAATCCAGAATTCTGTGTTTTGATTGATTTAATCTTCGAAGTTTCTCAGTTGTAAATAAACAAAATACCACTTTGGAAGCAGAACTACAATGTAGTATTTCTAATGGAGTGGAAAAGGATTTGCAGTCATTTACAGTGCAGTGTTCTTAAGCAGTAACAACAATTGCCAACTATTTGGAAGCATTTATTCTGAGAACAATGATGCATTAAATTGTCTGGTCATGGTTATCAATTCTTCTTATAGAAGGTTTTTGTGACTGCAAGATCGTCAAGGACATTCTATGACAATATTATAATACTTTATTGACAAACCTTGTACCTTTAACCTTCGTAAAAGGGTCATGGTAAGTGGAGAGAGATGCTCGCTGTATTGGATGACTTATTTTCTTTTGTTTTGCATACTTGTTCCAAGATCTTCATGCATCATTTTTGCACCTTTATATTGCATTTTGTTTGGATGAGGATTTCTAGACTGTTCAAGTGTTGTTACTCATTATATCTTGCTCTCTTTAAGGATTAACCATTTGTTGGCAATTTAAATTAGATTCCTAACAAAGTGTTTGTTGTTACTCATTATATCTTGCTCTCTTTAAGGATTAACCATTTGTTGGCAATTTAAATTAGATTCCTAACAAAGTGTTTGTTGTTACTCATTATATCTTGCTCTCTTTAAGGATTAACCATTTGTTGGCAATTTAAATTAGATTCCTAACAAGTGTTTGTATAAGGCCACGTTTATGCAGAATAAGCTACATAAGGAACACAGCTCTAATTTGTCGGTTTTCTGATAAAGCACAAACTCTTGCTTAAGGAGTTAAGATTGTCTAATTTAGAGTTTTCTAAGCTTTTTGGGCTTAAATATTATTTCATTTTTGGTTAAACCTTTCACATAAAATGCCACTCTTATATAATTGGGAATTAAGTTTCTCGATGAGAAGTGTGGTTCTGGTTAATAGTTTTATAGTCAACCTAACTACCTTCAGAGTCTTCTTGTGTTATCACTCAGAATTTGCCTGGTGCTTTTTTAATATTTCAGTGGTCCAGTTGTTGAATCCTTAGATTTTGTTTGCACCTTTAGATTTCTACTAATTGAGCATTATGCTTTTTAGCAGGCTGAAGCTCTTATTAGATCACAACAAGATGTCGGTGAAATAATGGGAGGGTTGGGTTTGACCTTCATCAAACTGATAAAGTTTGAGACTGAGGAGAGTGTATACCGCTCGCAGAGGATACGAGTTGCTGACACCAAAAATGTAGCAACTGCTGCAGTAAAAGCAAGCAGATTATATCAAGAATTGAATGCTCATACTGTCAAACATCTGGTACTTATCATAGCTAGCTTATCTATTTTTGCATGAACTTCATTAAACCAAAAATTGTCGAGGAGGGACTTCATGTGTCCTGCTATTTACTTATCGGGGAATTTCATTTCTCAGGACACACTGCATGAGTATCTAGGACTAACGGTAGCTGCTCGCAGTGCATTCTCAGACAGAACTAGCACTCTGTTGACTGTGCAAACACTAATGTCAGATTTAACAACCTTGAATACAAGGGTTGAGAAACTTGAAGCTGCATCCTCAAAGATATTTGGTGGTGACAGATCAAGACTCCGTAAAGTGGATGAACTAAGAGAAACAATAAGAGTCACCGAGGATGCAAAAAGCTGTGCAATAAGAGAGTATGAGAGGATAAAGGTATTGTCTGTTTCTCTCACAGATCACACAGAACAATGCATAAACACTGAATATATTACCAAATAGAAATTTCATCATTTTTTTCATGTACCATGCTTGTCCATCTACAATGATTGGAATTTTCAGTTATAATAAATTTCAATCAAACTTCATAGCATATCTTTCAGGTTCCATGGCTATTCAGGATATTTCTTTAAATTATGAGTGCATCGATCTTGCCTTGGTAGACCGGAAGGAACCATCTGGACTTGTCTTGCTGAAACGTTAATGCAACTTGCATTGGACTCTAGTTGTTCAGCACGTAATAAAAAGGAAATTCCTAGTAAATTTATCAAGCTGCAATACTGCTTTACACTAAATACCTAACAAAGCATGTTAATCTTGTCAAAAAATATAAAAAACTTGTACTAATGTTTTAGCAAGTGTTTTCAAATCAACTTTGGGAATTAGCTTAACTGTCATTTCCTGATGTACCATACCAAGGATGACACCACGGATGTCTTTGTTACGTTCTAATCTGTTTGCAGTTTGTCAAAGTTGATTTGGTACATAATAGTTAAGCTAATTTTCAGAACTGATTTGGAAACACTTATTGAAAAGTCGGTACTGAGTCTTTTTTATTTTTTTGACAAGATTAACATGCTTGGTTAGGTCTTTAGTGTAGTTGTATCACATCAAAAATTCTGACAATAGTCTTTGTTATTATGGTTCTTTTGCTGTTTTGAACTTATATATGCAACCTCTTCCTCAGTAAGGTAGGGGTGTTGAAAAGAAGAAGACTCTTGTTCCTCCACCTTGTCCTTTTGATGTTGTTGAAGCAAGATATCTTTATGTCTGTTGAAAGTTAGCTTATGATGTCCAAGTAAATTTATCAAGCTGCAATGCTGCACCAGATAGTTTCTTATTTGACTGCATGATGAAATTTGTCTTACTAAATGGTGAACTTTTTAAGTGATGCAGCCCAATCAGTAATACATTTGCACATTTTGGTAACTTACTACTAATGGCAAAAATAATAAAAGTCTTATCCTAGTTTTAAAGATGCAATGAATTGTCATTTGCAAAATATGCTATGGTAATGTGAGTATTAATTACTTCATGCCAGTTTTTTGTGTATACCAGTAGAAGACTATGAGTTGGTTTTCTAGGAGTTTTCAATTATGATGATAGTAAAACCATATAAGTCTGTCCCAGTAATTTGTATAAGCGTTACTAATTCTTTCTTTTTGTTCATTATATCAAATTATGATCTCTCATCTCTTTGTTGCTTTTGGAAATTGATTTCTAGCCCAACTGCAGTTCTCAATGCTTTTCCTCCTATACGACAATTGGCTATTTATTTGACTGACTTGAATGAGCCAGAAATTCCTCTGGTTGAATCATTTTGATGTGAACTGCAGGCCTCCCATGTGAAGGCAATCCAAAGATCACAAAGCAACTCTCAAGGATTTAAGCATTAGATTCTTTACTTACATTTAAAGCAAAATTATTTGATTTGGGGTATCGATATTTTTCATGCTTAGATGGTTTAATTGACTTCGTTGCATTTTAGTTATACTATTGGATTAAATGTTAGTATTATTTTTTTCCTTCTATCATCACATTAGCATCTTATCCACAAACTATTTGTATGCTTGTGTACTTGATAGAGGACACTCTTTTTTGCTGATATATGACACATAAATGGGTATCAAACAATGCCACGTGCTTTTGGACATCCTGGAAAAGGGGGAAGAATCTGGAAATATGGCTGTTTGATGTTGTTGAGTGGCATAGGTCTTAATTTATGAGTTTTGCACTGTTGATTATATTGCAACATGAAGTCTGCTGTAACTTGAGAGTTTTTGATGGATTACTGAGAGATAAATTGTTAGTTCCGTACTCTGTTCTAGTCATCCCACCCTTTGGGCTTGGGAACCTGCTACAAATCCTGATTACTCAGCTCCAAAGGTCGTTTGGTTTTTCACTCAGGTTCTTTATGCTACTGTTGTTGAGGATAGATTTCTCATAGGAACATTTAAATAGTATCATGCTAAATATGGCAACCGGTGGGAACCAATGAGCATGATATCAATAAGCATTTGCCTAGAATATGATAGCCAGATATGTTATATCAACTGTAGAAACATTTCTACTTGACTCTAATTGTTATTTCATGATCTTAAGATGCTGCTGTTAAAATGATATCATTTTTAATCCTACCTTGCTAAATAATAGAATGAGAATATTTGAACCCTCTTCTTTTATGGAAATTCGAACTTTATCTGTTACAAAATCATCTGGTGACGTTACCAGTGTAATAATAGAATTGAGTACCCATACCAGTGTAAAGCATTTGTGCATCTGGTGACCTTAACTGGAAAGGACTTATCTTAAAATAAAAAAAATCCAAAATCCAAAAGGACTTCAGGTCAAACATATAAGTGACCGGACCTTCTTTTATGGGCCTCCAGTTGTCCAATCAGCTAATTGAGGTTGTCCTTTCAATGACCAAATGTATGCTTTTGGTCTTAGATCTCAAATTGGGAGGTTTGATACTTTATGTGGGTTGCTTGACAACAAAATTTGGGTTTCCTTTTAACTCTGTTTGGCTTTTGCTTCCTAAGACGTATATTCTTCCAAAACAAATACAATGAACTATATAGGATATAATTTTGCAGATATCTAAGACAGTTGTCATTTGTGCAGAAAAACAACCGGAATGAGCTTGATAGGCTAGACAGAGAAAAGCATGATGATTTTCTCAGCATGCTGAAAGGGTTTGTAATAAATCAGGTAAAGCCCACTCTCTGCTTGATGATGTGGAACATATTGGGAAGCAGCAATATTGTGTCTTTTGACCATGGAAGTACTTGGACATTTCTCATGCTTTAGTTTGTCATTTAAGAGCCAACACCTTGAACAGTAGTGAAGATTGTCTGCACTACTTCATATTTATATATGAAAAGTTTGGCATAAATTGATTTTGAAGAAGGGTTTAGTGCAAGTTACTTGTTCCCTTCAATGCAATTTTTTCTGCAAATTATCTCGGGATAGATAATTTCACTTCATATGCAACTTTCCTGTCCTCAAATGCAGTTGCACCAGCAATTCCTCTGGTAGCACATAATCAAACTTCAGGATAGTTTATGGATGTCATATTTTTCTCTTTTTTGTTAGCTCGATAAATACTAGGCTATATAAAGACATACCGTATCTTCTGTTGACTTGCAGTGTTGTTATCAATACATTAAGATCATCTGAAATACATCACTGACATGATGCAATATATATTTTTTTGAACATCATACTTGTAGAATTTACTCTTCTTTGTTTTGTGTTATGATTTTACCATTGATCCCACTTCTGGAGCTAATTACTGGGGACTGGGTTTTTTTAGCACATGAGATTTTTTATTTTGGAAAAACAAAGCTAGGATCCATTCCATTGGTTAAAGTATTGTGCAGCTGATCTTTTTTGCTTGGAACCACGATGCTGGCTGGAATCCCTCAGTCATTGCCCAGCATCTACTGTGCATGTTAAGTTAGATAACTATCAAAATGTGTTGTTGTGAGCATTTTAAGCTTATAGTTAGGAAATCATCGTTGTTTGTTATGCCTATTATACATTGCGTCTTACTGATTCCTTGATTCACGTTGAACAGGTTGGATATTCTGAAAAGATTGCAAGTGTCTGGGCTACCGTTGCGGAAGAAACTAGTAGATATGCAAGAGACAACAATTAGGTTATTGCTAATGCAAGCCAAAACTCAGTTTATGGCCTGCTATCTTCTTCATGACACTTGCGTATACACTACCTTGTAGATAGATATAACAAACAAAAAAAGAGAAGAGATTAAACAGATTCGTTCCTATCTTTATTTCATTATTATTATTATTATTTTTTAGGTTATACAACACCCTTTTTCTTAATGATTTGAAGTTGCTCTCTCGTTTGGCTACTGCTGTTTGGGTTTGTGAAATTTTGATGGGGCTGTTTTTTGGCTAATTATTGACAACGTTGTATGGTATTTTCTTAACCTTGTTTCATCCATTCAAACATTACATAACATGCATATTACAGTATCTTAACGTAAGATGTCTTCTTCTGCAGCATCGGACGGGGTCTTCCCGGAGGCAAGTGAGATGGGTGAATGTGGTGGCGACGATGAAAATGGTAAAACCTGCCTTGGCTCACTCGATTGCTAATCACATAAGAGAAATGCATGATTAAGATATGCGAAGGCAGAATATATATAATGTTAGGAGCATTTCGTTTAGAGGGACTTCTTTTCCCCTTCCCAGATAGATAGAATGGAAAATGCTGACCTGTCCAAAAACACTCCATTGCGTGTCACCAGCTCCAAAGGGCCGTCTCCGTCGCCATGATCATGACGTACTGTCGATCGTGAGAGACATCCCTTGTTCGGCATGGAGAGCTCTTGGCGAGCAAAGGTAGACGGCAATCACTTGCCCAAACATATACGTATGTTTGGACTAATCAACAATAGAATATCAATAAATAATATATAATACACCAAATTTACAGAGTTCGAGGTTTCTTACCTAAATCCAAATTAATAGAGGCAATCACTCTCTCTCTCGATATATATATATATATATATATATATATATATATATATATATATATATATATATATATATATATATATATATATATATATATAGTGAGGTTCTTGTTATTATGATTCTTTTGTTGTTTTGAATTTATATATATGCAACCTCCTCTTTTTCTCATAAATAAGAGTGTCGAAAAGAACATGACTCTTTGTTTCTCCACCTTGTCCTTTCCATATAACTGAAACAGGATATTTTTTTTGATTCTTGAAAAGTAACTTATGATGAACTTGATTTAGATAATATATA